ACAAACAGATTCCTTCTGCTAATCCAGATTTTCTTGTTATTAATTGCATTTCTGACGCCCTTGCCTCTCATAGGGCGGAGCTTTGTCAATTACCACCGCGTGCAGTCACGGATGCGACCGATCTAGTCGATCAGGCGGCGGCCGTCTTGAAGCGTAATGCCACCATCTGCTTGGAGGTGTGCGCTCGGCCCCGGAACCCTGCCAGGAAGCCCGCGCGCACACGTGTTTCGCAGTTCTTGAGGCGGAGGGCGGCCACAGTGGCAGTGATAGAAAGTGCTGCGCATGCATTTGTGCCCACCATTTTTGGCTGGAGGTGCCAGGGCTGTGGTATTTGTGTCAAAAGGAAGTCCAAAGGATTCTTTCGCATAGTCCGCTCTTCCTGTGCGGCCACTGCGACAAATGCGGTGGAGGAGGACCCTGGGGACCTCCGCCGCGGGCGCAAGGCCGACGGCAAGCGTTCCCAGTTGACCGATGAAGTTGTAATTCTCGACGAATGTCTTTGGGAGCGCCTCGGCATGTCAGAACCTCCTGCCCGAGCGCCGCGCCCCTTTTTCTTGGCGGGCCGGCAGGTGCACGATACCCATGACAGTTGGGTAAAAGGCTTCTTCAGCTTCTGCGGCCAATGCGGCTGCAAGTCGCAGAGGATTCCAAGGCTTCTTTTGGAGCCGTGCGACGCCGTGGCCAAAGGCGTAGCTAATCTCACAAATTACCAGCGTGAGGGTCTGCAGAGGATCAAACGAGGCCTCTCCCCAAAGAAGCTGTGCAAGGATTGGGGTCCTCACCCAGACGGCGAGATTGAACTATAGTCTCCTTGATTTTTAAAGCCTATGTGTCAAACCCTTCGGATTTTGGCTTGTAGACGCGCACTGCAAAAACTCCTCCTCCACCTCGTCCTCCTCCTCCTCCTCCTCCTCCTCCTCCTCCTCCTCCTCCTTCTCCCTCCTCCCTCCTCCTCTGCCAGACCGAATGGTCAAACATGTGGCGCTCTTACGACCGTTTGGGAACGATTCGGCGCAAAAAAAATATTGGCGGGCGCCGCGGAAAATGAGGCAAGAAAAGTACGGGGAAAGTAGAGAGAACAAGTAGGTGCCCGCCAGGTTTTCGAGGTCAGCAAACACTTTAGTTGGTAAAGCCAGGCAAATATTAGATCTGACTCAGGTAATGGCCCGTAAGGTCAGTTGGTGTTGCCGCCTCTGTAAGCAAGGTGCCAGCATGTACTTTGGAGTGCAAAAACAACATAATGCATGCATAACCGAAGTAATGAATATCAACGTTGAGGCACATGCTGTTCGACATGAAAGGACAAGTGAAGAAAAATGCAGAGCAACGCCGTGACTGCACAGTTCTAGGGTTGCTGCCCAGAGTTCTGGTTATCCCCAAACCGTGGATAATTGTGCTCGTCCGCCAACCGCTCCAAGATACCATACACGTCCCCCCGTCCTCCGCCAAGAAGAGTACTGGGCGTGTTTGAGCAATTCAGTTAGGGCTGTTATCGGTATACGTTATGCTGTAAATGCTCAGGCCGGCCTGTAGGATGACGCTGGCCACAGGAGTTAAAAGTAGTGGGCACATAGGGACAGTGCCTCCGCAGTGCAGTTGTTTTGGCTTGCCGCCCAGGGTTTTGATGGATAACCCCGAACAACGGTGAGCCCTTCCCCAACCCAAGTACCATCCTCCACAGAGGTGAGCGCGCACCGTGGAGGCTTGCTGGTAGGTCGGGCTGTCAAGGTAAACCCTTAACCTGCAGAAAGGAAATCCAGCAAGTTTCGGGCTGCGGCCCAGGGCTTTGCAGGTTAACCCCGAGCCTGCAAAGGGAGAGACTGCCACCAGCGTGTCAGGGCCGCGCAGGGAGGGGACGGTGCAACGCGCACCAGTGAACAAGAGGGAGGCGAGCATATAGAAATGTGGCGCCTGAAGACTGCCGAAGGGTGCTCTTACTCAGCCGTCAGAGTGTCTATGATGTAGCGAGTGTACTGCTAGCAAAGTGGGGGGTGCACAGGATGCTGCATGCAATGAGCACTACACAACGCAACGTGGACGGTTTGCTCACGCGGCCAGGGTTGTGGAGTGAAATAAAGCTCTTATAAGCCTTGTATGTAAGGCTGGAAAAGCCAAAGTGAAAATTCCAGTCTGCCAGCAGTGGGCCCGCCCGTCTTGCCGGCAGTAGGCCCGCTTTTCGGTTCCTAGCTGGCGGGGCCACCGTCGCCGCCACTGCATTAATGTCAGGAGTAGGGGGGGTATTCAACGAGAGGCAGGGGAGAAAGAACAAAGGTAGCAACGATGCACAGGTGCTGCAGTGCTTTGCAATAAAAAGGGGCACCTCCCTGCCGCGGTCCCAAGCGCCCGTTGGGCGCACGTGCTGCGTGGAGGATCACCTGTTTGAGGTGCCCTCAGAGTGCCTGGCATCAGCTGTAGAGGAGGGGGTGCACCACGGGGTAGTAAGCCGAAGTGGCCAAAGCGAGGTATTGCGCAGAAGCGATGGCGAGGGCACTAGGGGGGA